ATTGTTCTTAGATGATTAAGGGGAGCAGGATTGTTATGTAGCATTTCATAAGGTGACTTATGCTGAAGGACTAGAGTTGATATTCTATTTATGATGCGTACAACAACTAAGGTGAAATCGTCACAAAAATGCAGAGGTAAGTGTGCATGAAAAAGAAAAGCTCTAGCAACCTGAAGTATATGTCGATGCTTTCTCTCAACCCTAACATTTTGCTGAAGGGTTTCTATACAACTTGTTTAATGTAGTATACTAGTTTCTTTGAAACAATTATGCATTAAAATTCTGTTCCATTATCAGATCTAAGTGTTTTATTTGTCTTATTAAACTGAGTTTTCACTAGGTTAATGAAGTGTCTGATATTAGAGTTGGTTTGTGGCTTATGTGTAAGAGGGTAAACCCATGTAGTTCTAGTATAATCATCTAAAATAGTGAGAAAAACCTATGACCAGCATATGAAGGAACTGAAAAAGGGTGAAGTCACAGACCATGTGGTATTATGCACCTGTATCTATAATCTATGTATAAGAATTAAGAGTAGATTGTGCCGAGCAAAATACATGTATACCTGCAGTAGATGATGGCTGAGTCGTACAGACATTAGCAACAATGGGTGGAGTGATTGTCCAGTGGGCTATTTGAAACAGTAGACTGCTCTTAAGACTTTTTAAAGGCTAAGAATTCATGAAAAAGATGATCAGTCATGGAAGAATCATTAGAAAGAGCGAAGTCAGTGTGAGATGTGATCACAAAGTTAGCATGGTGTTTTGGATGAATTCTAGGACCTCGAGGTCCATCCCAAATCCGAGGGTAACCAATAACTTGGAAGCATTTATTATTGGTATGACCAAGATATCCATGAGCACTTGGGTTTGGGTTTAGACATGTCTTTTGATGGATGTTTAGTGTCTTGGGGTTTGAAGTTTGGTTTGTAGTGTTTAGGAGGGAGATTTGATTTGAATATCATGGATATAGAATAAATGGGTTTTATGGTAGAATGTAAGGTTCTTGGGCTTTTTTTGAAGTAGTACGGAGTAAACTTTGTTCAAGGAGGCGTGGACAGTAAGAAATGTGATCTTAAGGCTGAGTATGAATCATTTAGGGCAATTATGGATTTGATAACAATGTCTGTTTGTTGAGAACTGATTATGGAGTCAATATGTTGCATGTAAAATAACTCATAGCACCACAAGTACAACAAATATTGGTCTATATGTTATGTATCCATCCCAAAGATTTTTGAAAGAGTTGTAGTACAAAGTGATATTCATTGAGCGTTGGTCCATCGTACTTAAAGATTTTTCTATTTGAAAAACACGAGGACCACTGCTTAATGCATATTTTGCTTTTAATTCATCTCAGACATCTTTCGTTGTTGTGAAAAAAAGAGAAAAGATTATCTGATATGTTTAGAGGTCGAGTTTAACAGCCAAGAAAACACAAGATTGTTGGCACGATTTCATGCGAGACATTCAACTGTGCAATTAACATAGGGTATAAAAACAATACCATCAAGCAGGCCGAGTTTGTTTGTGACATTGAAGGCCATGGACACTGTGCGTGACCAGGATACATAGTTGTTGCCAGTTGAACAACCGCGATTATCGCACCAGGTTGTCGCTGGGATGTACGAAGAAAGGAGAAGTCAGATCGTGCGTAAGATGAGCGACCATGATTCTGTCAAACAGAGTGAAAATCTAACCAACAGACGCTTAGATCAGAAATGAAATCGTACAAAAAAAAAAGTACAAATCTAGGTTAAAATATGTGAATCAAAAGTTAGATCGAAGAAATCAAGAAAAAAAATAAAAAACAATCGAGAACGAGAAACTAAAAAACAAAATCGCCTCAAAGGACGAGACGAAGGACGGAAACAGAAAATCAGAATCAGTGATCAACCGGCTACTGATACCATGTGAAGATCATGATCGGGAGAGAGTTTGTACAAGAGAGAGGCGAGCTAGAAGATAAAAAATTAGGGTATGTTATTCATGAATTAATGAATGATGCCTATTTATACTTGGGGCCAACAATGTAATATAACAAATCTTGAATGTAAAAGTGATAGGCTAAAAGTGCAACTTCGACTAAAAGGCTATTATACTAAAAGTGCTATACATGTGCTATACGTAATCTATTGTGGATCAAATGCAATGTTGATTGAATTTCTAAAAAAACGCTGCTTAAATGTCATTTCAACGCAGTTGATATTCTTGGATTAATTTGAGAGGAGTCAATGTTGCCTCTCTATATAGTAGAGGAGAACCACCACCTATTTTTCTTCTGCTCGGCCTTATAATTCTCGATTGAGCATACTTTGGTGGCCAAGAGACTTATTCCGAATTGAACACTGAAATCTGGAACTGAAATGGGTGGTTCAACACCGGGCCTGTCCCGGCCCCGCCCGACAGCCGGCCCATTGACTGGTTTGCAGTAACCAAGTGAGCTAACGCAAGAAAAATATGTATTTCACGATTGTAAACAGTATCAAATCACAAATGATTATAGGGGCACTATTTTAATACGAAAACGAGGTATGTTGAATTCTGCCAAATTTAAATATATACAGAAATAAATATTGCACATGTTGAAATCTTGTTTTGCTATAGGTCTAATTGCCTCAAATATTGGACAAACCAATTAATACTTCCAACTAAATAAATATAATTTTTTTTTTTGGTACATCATGATCCAACTAAATAAATATTTAATAGTATATTCTTTTGTTTATCTAACTATTTTCCTTGTTTTTCTTTTTCCTCTTGAAATTTTAGTTCAATTTAAAAATAATTCATCATTACGTATTTGTAATAAATTTAGAATTCTTAAACGAGTTAAAATTACATTTAGAATTCTTAAACAAGTCACTTGTATTGATAAACAAGTCAGACTCGAAGTCGTTCAGTTAACGAGTCGATCCGAGCTTGGTTTGTTAATACTCGAGAATATGATTTGTTCATATAATTTTATTTTACTCGATTTGTTAAGACTTAAGTTTGACTCAAACTAGACTCGTTAATATTGATAAACGAACCGAGTTCAAGCTCTCGTTCATCACTAAATGAGTTGTGCCGAGTTTGAACTCCTTTGTTTACACCTCTTAAAGTAATTAGAGAATCTACCTGAATTCACGATTTATAAAGCAATACTACCCATCATGATTATGTCCGAAATATATTAATTCCACATTGGCGATTAAACCCGACATGAAGGACGGCTTGACTATTCGATAATAAAAGTTAAAATTTCCCAAAAAATAATATTGGAAAATTAAATGGTTATTTGAATAAAAATAATATACTACAAAATAATAATAATTAATTATACTTGATAGAGAAATAACAAATAATAATTTATAGCTATAAATATTTGAATGAATGAATGGTAAATGTAACATATAAATCTATAGAACAACTGATTTTTTTTTTTATTTTAAAAATTTTATTGAAAAAAAAAATAGTGGGATAGAGTGGGAAAAGTGAAATGGATATAGTGTATATTTGATGGATAGAAGAACAATGGGAGTGAAAATGTAGGAAGATGTTACGGCCTCGTTACGGAACCATTCTGTCAAAGTTTGTATGCTTTTAAAATGTATTAATTTAAAAAAGCCAACATAAATAATAATATTGATAATAATAATAATAATAATAATAATAATAATAATAATAATAATAATATAGCATTTTATAATATAAATATAAATATGATATCCTCCCTATATATAATTTCAGAATGCGCTGAGCCTACATGGCTGCTTCTGGTGCATCGGAATCCTATTTGGCAAAGAATCATGCTTCGTAATTAGGCTTGGATGAATAATATTGATATATTAATAATTAATCATCTAGGTTCGGGTATTCCATAAATATTGTTTAGCTAACTTAGGTATTTTAATATCACTTTTACTAATATAACCCTTTAATTTTTTTTGTAATTTTACATAGTGAGGCAATAAGTGACTAATATATTCCTGAATTTTGATTTGTTTCCTTCAATAAGCTATTGAATTATAAATGTATTTTAAAAGTTGATAACTTTTGTATTTCTTATCGGTTTTACATATATAATATATCAAATTAATTATCTTTTGACGATCTTTAATTTGACATCCATATTGTATATATGAAATAAATAAATATTCATCTTTATAATAATAAAAAATAATAATATTTATTAAAATTCATTAGAAAAATAAAATTATTTCTCAATTGATATATTTATATGTAATGTAGTTATATATTGTAAGTTAAAAAAATTAGTATAATATAACATAAGTAAGTCGCACAAATAAAAAGTGTCACAATAAATATATAATAATATATATATATTTATATAAAAGGTATTTAAATTTTCAAACTATTTTTTTCTTATTAATTTTAGTTAAGAAAAAAATTAGCAAACATCCGTGTAATACACGGGTGTTGTACTAGTTTTGATAAGAAGAAGAAAAAAGTGACAAGTCGACATGCTGGTGGGCCTCGCAAGAATTTGTGTTGAAAATAAAAATCAAATGATCCGAAGCTTTACTCACAATACAAGAATTTTAAAATTAACCTGCCCCATCTCAACCTGTGGTAGGACCCCACTTTTTTCTTTTCTTTATTATTATTATTATTAATGGAAAATTTATAGTCTGGTTATTGAACTATTTCGTCGAGAGTTGTGATCGTTAGATAATTATGTAACCGTCATAAATAGTTGATCTAACGGTTACAAACCCGAATGAATAATTCCGTAACTGGCAGTAGAATCCTCATTATTATTATTATTATTATTTTTCTCCTTTTGCAATAGCACTATATGCTCATGGTAGTTGTATTCGTGTTTTGCGCTTGTGTTGCCGGGCAAATTCCTATAAATACGGCACACAAACACTTTGTTCTTATTCAAGTAACTCAAACTTTCTCAAAACACTCAGTTCTTTGTAGCAACAAAATAGTATCTTTAGTTCTTACCAAATTAAAAAAAGGTGTAGCTAAATTAAACAGTACCAATAAGCCATGGCAGGTGGAGTAATGATAAAAAACGACGGCAAGGAGTACGCCGGAAAAATCACCTGGTTCGTGCTGCTTTCTTGCATGATTGCAGCTTCCGGCGGCATCATTTTCGGCTACGATGTCGGAGTCTCCGGTTCGTTATTTATTTCGGTCACCCCCAAAAAAAAATGAACATATTGTATACTATGTTGAACTATATATATAACATTTATGAAGGGGGAGTGAGCTCGATGGAGCCGTTCTTGAAGAAATTCTTTCCGGGCGTCTACAAGAAGATGAGAGAAGACACCAAAATAAGCAACTACTGCAAATTCGACAGCCAGCTCCTCACGACCTTCACGTCCTCGCTCTACATAGCCGGCCTAATCTCGTCCTTCTTCGCCGCCCCTATAACTCGGGACTTCGGCCGGAGGCCTTCCATTATTATAGGCGGCCTATCTTACATGGTTGGCGCAATCCTCGGCGGCTTGTCCCTTAACATTTACATGCTCATAATCGGGCGCGTCTTGCTTGGTATCGGTCTCGGTTTCACCAATCAGGTAATTAGTATTTAGTCGCACCTAGGCCTGTATACGAGCCGAGCTCGTTAAATAAACGAGTCAAAAATCGATCTCGAGCTATAACGACCCGAACTATAGAAAATTATATAAAAATTCTCTTTTCAAGCCTTATCGAGCCAAGCCGAGCCGAGCTCGACTCGTTAACCAAACGAGTTTCAAATGAGCTCAAGCTCGGCTCGTTAAGGCCTCGAGCTCGAGCTAAACTCGAGCCAAACCTAACCAGACTAGTTAAATTCAATAGCACCATCATTAATTTCTCTGATCCAAAAGCCGTAAACCTTGACTAACGAACTCATTTTGCAGTCGGTCCCGTTGTATTTGTCGGAAATGGCTCCCTCCCGATACAGGGGAGCCTTCAACGTGGCGTTTCAAATCTGCGTGAGCATCGGCTACAACTCGGCTACGCTAATCAACTACGGTACGGTCCGAATCGCCGGCGGCTGGGGCTGGCGGATTTCCATCGCCATGGCCGGAGTTCCGGCCGCCATCCTCGCCTTCGGCGCCATATTCCTCCCGGAAACCCCCAACAGCCTCGTCCAAAACGATGCCGACCACAGCAAGGTGAAAGACATCCTCCGAAGAATCCGAGGCACGAACGACGTGCAGGACGAGCTCGACGACCTGATCGAGGCCAGCCGAGCCTCGAAAGCAATCGAGCACCCGTTCCGAAACCTGATGCAGAGGAAGTACCGGCCTCAGCTGATTATGTCGGTACTAATCCCGTTTTTCCAGCAGATAACCGGGATCAACATCATCGCCTTCTACGCCCCGATTCTATTTCTGACGATCGGGTCAGGGGAGAACGCTTCCCTGCTGGCGGCGACCGTGACAGGTGTCGTGTCGTCGACGTTCACCATCATAACCGTGATTCTGGTCGATAAAATCGGGAGGAGGCCGCTGTTCCACTTCGGAGGGGTTCAGATGCTGATTTCACAGTTGTTCGTCGGGGGAATAATGGCGGCAAAGCTTGGGGATCACGGGGGGATGGAGAAGGGGTACGCGCTGGCGGTGCTGACTTTGATATGCGTGTTTATGTCGGGATTCGGACTGTCGTGGGGACCGTTGGGGTGGGTTGTGACGAGCGAGATATTCCCGCTGGAGATAAGGTCGGCCGCGCAGAGCATAGTGGTGGCGGTGAATCTGTCGATGACGTTTATGATAGCGCAGGTGTTTCTGGCGATGCTCTGCCACATGAAATCGGCGATTTTCTTCTTCTTTGCGGCGTGGGTGCTGGTGATGGTGGTGTTTGTGTACTATCTGCTGCCGGAGACGAAAGGGATACCGATCGAGAGGATGGAGGTTGTGTGGAGGGAACATTTCTTCTGGAAGAGGGTGATCGGGAGCAGCCAGATGAAAGTTGAGGCGGCCGCATGACGAACAAGAAGAAGAGGAAGAAGAAGAAGAAAGGAATCTAGTGAATCTAATGAAATTTTACAAGCAAAAATAATGTTTAAGTTATGTTCTGCATATGCTCTGTAGTGAAGAGTGTTTTAGTTATTTTTTTTTTGGGTTGGCTGCATAATGTCCCTGGATTAGGGAAAATTTGATCTGTGTGACTGTGTTCAATCAGAATGTTTTGTTATTATTGAATGCAGTTTGAAATTGTTTTCCTCAATTTGCTGAATTGTGTACAAGCTGGAGAAGTGGACTATACTGTCTAGAACTAACAATTGATTTTCATTTATGCTTTGCAATACTTATTATGGGAGAATGCTGCAATCCGGTTACGGGATGGTTTCGTTATTTTTTTAGTTGTAGATACACATGTAGATCACTCATGTGTAGATAATCTACGCTTAAAAAGAAGCCGTAACGGGACTGTAGCATTTCCCCTTTGTATGTTCATACTTTTTCTTTGCTTTAAATAATTTAGTTCTCAATTTTATTTTAATGATATATACAGGTATATTATCAGAAGAAAAGGTTATGCTTCTGTTAAAAGAGTAATAATATAGATATATAATATTGTACATAGAGTTATACATAACACTCACATTTAGTAAGACTTACCAAAATTAAAAAATTAAGTGGACCCCATCCCATATGAGTGTTATGTACACCTCTATGTACAGTTATATACTTTAAATCATAAGTAAATTTATGTGTTGAAGCTAATACTTGTAATTATACATTTATACATAATATTGTACATAGAGTTATACATAACACTCCCGCATTTTGCCTGGGCCCATCGCCAAGGCTCGCTCGTCCATCCGTGCACCCTAAGCATGTTATTTCGTAGGCTCTGGTTGTGTTCTTTCTTTGATTATTTTACTCTAATAGTTCATTTCTGAGTCTTGCCACTGATATTTTGATTTTTTTTTACCTGCTATACTCTGATTTTTTTGTCTTATGCTCAATGGTTTGATAGTTTATTGTTAGACGACCTATGTTGGTTCATCTGCACTTGCTGCGAGCTTGACTTGTCTTTTGCAGGTTATGTTTCAAGAAACGGGTTTTCGATCTATATGCCAAATGAGAGATTGTAAGAAAATATAATTTGGCATTAATCAAAAATATTATTTATTTACCATTTTTGTGTTTCTTGAAGCAGGTATCTTGGAATTAAAGCTTGAAGAGAAAGAGAAGATCTTCTCATCTTAACTTTCCATATTTTAGCTATTCTCCTATTGTTTATTTGACTTTAATTATCTTTATTTAGCTTGTAGGTAAAGGAAATATATTAGATTCATTAGGAGATTTTATATATATTCTCTTTCCTTATTATGATATTCTCTTACTATATGTTATAGTATGTATTTAAATGTCTTCAATTACTTGAAGAAAAAGGAAGAGCAAATATGATAAAAGGAATATATTCTTGTGAGTTTTGAGAGCTGAAATCATTAGGAAAAAAGCTGGAAAATCGATCAAGAAAAGGAAAAAAATCGGCAAGCAGATATTTTCGAAGGTTCTCACGGAAACAAGGAAAGAAAGTTCGCAAGAATGAAAAGATAGATGCGAGATGAAATCTGGAAGATTTGGGCAAGATATTCGAGCATCATGATCTACAAGGCATGGAGATTCAATTTCCAAAGTTGAACGAGAAGATCAAGTAAATTTGGAAACTCAAGATTTCTGATGAACCTGCATACCGTATATAGTTTATAGATATTATTTTCAGAGTTCTTGTTGTGTAAGAGCAATTCTATTATTCATTTAGAGAGCTTAGAGTTTTATTCATTGAGAGCTCGTGAGTTTTTTATTATATTTTATAGAGTGATCGCTTTCCAGCATGTAGGTTCGTCGCTGTTAATTCGAGATGTCAGTTTTGTTTTTTGTTCTACATGATGCTTGGACGAGCATCTTCATACTACCTGGAGGGATCCATACGTGCAGCGTAAGTCCACGTCGTGGCCAGAAAAGTAATTAGGTAGGTGGAGTACAAAGTAGGTTAGTTTAGAGGGAATCTATGCGTGTAAATTCTATTTGTACTTGTTGGTCAAACACTTGTTTAATGAAAAAGTTCTGAGATAGAGTGAGACGTTCTCCTGAAAGTTCGTTTTTATTTATTTGTTTCCGCAATTTTACATGAACGTTCACTGTTTCTAGATTCAACGCGAATTTTATACTCCCTTGAATTTCATATAGTAAATTGTGCACTCACAACACTTATAAATAAAAAAAAAAAAAATAAAAAAAAAAAAAAAAAAATAAATCTACAAATCTTTGTACATATCGGTGCCTTAATATGTAAGCAGAACTGAAGATTCTATACTTTTAACATTTGTTCAAAATTAGTTCTCGGAAATAAAAGGTGTCTAAATTCTCCAAATCAATAACACACCTTATCCTTTTTTTTTTTCTCTTTCAAAAATTCGAGTTTTAACTTTTTTCTTTTTCCTTTTATATTTTGAAAATTGGTGTAATGACGTACTCCCTCCTATTCATAATAAGTGTCGTTTTGAATAATTGTACAGTTATTAAAAATATTTTTTTTGCCAATAATAACCCTCATTAATGAGGATAGAGATGAATGATTTTTAGAAAAGATGAAGAGTGAATATGAAAAGACGTAGTGTATTTATTAGCTAGATGAGGATAATAATGGAAAAATATGTACAAAATATCGAAAACGACATTTATTTTGTTAATAGTTGATAATGTCAAAACGACATTTAAAAAGAATAGGAGATAGTATCAGTTATCTCAATGAGTAGCAAAGGAATCTCGACTTTTAGCTAAAAAATTAGAAAAATGTAACACTGCCTTTATTTTCTTTTTTAATAATAATAAAAAAAATAAAAAATTCTGGTTAGTAGGATTAGTTGTAACTTGTAACAGCATATGTTCAATTCACAACTATTTAATATTGAAGCTTTAAAAATCGAATATCTTTAAGGATCAGAAGTGAAAGTAATTGATATTTAATTTAGGGCAAATGGTATGATATAATTTTGAAAAAGTAGAGAATACACGAAAAAGAAAAAATATTTCATATTAAAT